CCCAATTTTTTCTCTCACTTTTACTCTCTGTAACCTCCTACATACTAGTGATATTTCCCTCTTGCTTGGGGTGAAATAATTTAAAAAAAGAAAACTCTTTGAGAAATATCTAAATTGGTATCTGTATATAATGGCTTTCTCAGATTAGTGATTAAAAATTGGTTAAAAGGACCAATTGGAGAAGAGCTGTTCACGAACGAACAGCATCCTTCTAAAATACCAGAAGAGACCAAGAAAAGACCAAGAGAGACAATAGAAAAGCCAGAGCTCCCCATTCCCTGAACCCACCTATATGGTGGCTGTGGATGTCTCTTCAGATCCAGCATAGGACTCATTTCACACAGAAGGAAATGTCGATCACCCAAATACGCAGCAACAAGTTCTGCCAACAACAATGAATGGTTAAAAATGGCATCATGATAAACCTGTAAGTCTCAACGAAGATCATCCTTCTTCAGACTTTGTGGACTGGTGGTACAGAATCACAAACAAAGAACTGTATCATGTAAGAGAGACCACATCACTTAGAGACTTTCAACAGCAGCAACAACTAAAATGGATAGCACATGTAACTTGAAGAGAAAATAATGACATAATCAATCTGTTGACATTCCACACTACTTTATACAAAAGGTTAGGAAGGAAGCACCCATCAGTACTAGAACAAGTTTCAATAGGTACCAGTCTTTAGAAACCTATTTTTCTGATAAATTGTTTTTAGGGGAAAATTTAATAAACCTCAACCAAAAGTAGTACATTCTCTTTGGTCAATGAATGCCAAATGTTTCCTTGTAGGGGCAGATTCAGGATTGCATAGAGGGTATACACCCCACCAAAAAATTTCTAAGAAAAATTTTTTGTTGTAAAGTAGATAAGTTAAACTATAATGAGTGAAGACAGATTTAATTTGCTTATTCTTTTGTTCACAAATACATTCAGTTAGACCATAAAATCATGAACCTCTATCCAAATAAGAATCCACGAAAATTGACTTTAGTAAATCCTCTTTCATGAACGCTAGATAATCACACTTTAAATCTAAAAGTTTGAATTTATAATTTTACATATCAAATAAATAAAAGAAAATGCAAATATGAAATATATATATATATATATATATATATATATATATATATATATATATATATTCTAATTCTTTCTAGTTGAACAAATAGTAAAAATGTTTTGAATTTACAGAAAATTTAACCCCCTGAAGATGGTTTCATATGAGTACTTTGGAAAATAAAAATTATTTAAAAGAAAATTTTGGTATTTTTCTTAATCAATTTTCCACAGCGACCAAGAAATTGATTTATGGACACGAAAAGATTAAAACAAAAATAAACATAGTATATCTCAATTATTTACCCAAAGCTGTTTGAATGAAAATATGTCTAAATACACAAAATATATAAGCATGGGGTTAGAATGTTTGCTTTCTAACCATTCAAATTTCACCATGGAAGAAGACTTCCTGATGTTATCTGGAGGGTGCGATCCCAGCATGAAGTACCTTTGGAAAGTGCCTGAAAACCATACCACGAGTTGATCCAAACCTTGTAAGTGAAATTGGGTAGACTGATGGTTTGAGTGTGCTGTCCTTGATCAACCTGTTGATCACGCTAGATAACACGCTCTTTCCAAGAAACTGTAACTAAAGTTCTATTGCAGATGCTTGGCTGAGCAAGTGTCAGCAACAGGGATTTGCTATATCCCCTTGTAGACAGGTATCCTCAAATATGAGTAGCCAGCTATATATATATATATATATATATATATAATTACACATATATCGATGTTTACAGTATGACTTGGTTTCATGGCTTTCTCATTCATCAGGTACACAAAGTTACAAATTGTTCAATACAATTGTTTTTCTTTATATATATATATATATATATATATATATATATATATATATATATATATATATGAAGAAATATAGTCTTAAGGTGTGCTATATTTATGGGATAAAGTGTTTGATATCAGAGATAGAGCATGTGTAAATATAAAAGTGAACATAGAAATCAACACTTAGATGACAGTCTGTTTCATGCTAGATGCAATCGTCAGGTGGCCTGACGATTGCATCTAGCATGAAACAGTCTGTCGCCTCTAAGTGTTGACTTCTATGTTCACTTATATATATATATATATATATATATATATATATATATATATATATATGAACACTCTCTACTAATTTCTATAACCTTGTATATCATCATCATCCCCTTGACTTTTGTAATCATAGGGAAGATTCAAATGTATAAGATTTACTAAATCTCCTCCATAATGGTCTATCAAGAGCAGCCGTAAGCGATTCTGGTATAGTCATACCTGCCCATTGTTTGACATTGTGCAACCAGTTTTTATGTTGGTGTCCTCTCCAATTCCACCTTGCATGATGTTCTTGTGTCATGTCTTGTAATGTGTCGAAACCATGCCATTTTTTTCTCTGTTTGACAGTGGCAAGATGAGGTTCCTGGTGGCCCACAAAACTTTCAACCCCTTTTCTGTACAAACTCATTGGTTTTATATACCTAATAGGAAATGTCAAGGAGTTTTCTCATGCATTTGTTTTCAAATGCTTGGACCATTCTCTCTGTTTCTGTCAACAGTCTCGACATCCATATAGGAGAATGGAGACTACCAGGGATTTGTACAGTCTGTACTTAAAACCAATGTCGCAGAAATTAAAATTTTGAATTTTTACTAAGGAACATACACCCTCTCTAACTGAAAATGCTGCATCCATCCCTGTAGGAAATGCATTATTTGTTTTTGGATTTCTGTTTCACATTTTTAATGTTGGCCATATTGTTAAATTTCACTGGATTTTGTTGCTTGTATCTTGGGATGTCCCTCTTTGATAAGTGCTTTTAATTTCTCAGTTGGTTACTATTAAAACAGACAAGAAGGACCCGAGTGTTTCCACTCAAAGGGCCAAAGGTCCAAAACTGGTCTTAGCATGTCCAAGCTGGTCAGAGCCTAGTCAACGCTGGTCATGGCTTGTCTTAGCTAGTCCAGGCCAAAGCCAGTCCAAACTAGTCATAGCCGTGATCGAATCTCAGCAAAAGGCCGAGAAACGATCCTTATTTGTCAAAACTGGGCGAAATCCGCCAAAGCAGGCATTGCATTGGTGCCATCACATCTTAACATTGGTGGAGAGTTGATGGAGGCCCTGGGTCCCCTGGACACATTCAACTACCTGGGGATAATCTTCAATCAAAAAGGCATCATTTCCTCCCCAATATCATGCAAGAGTGGCTGGAAGAAATCAGAGCAATGCCACTTAAGCCTTTTCAGAGATTTGAAATTGTGCATTCTGGCATCATCCAAAAGCTGCTGCATCCCCTGGTTCTCAACAATGCATACCAAAATACTCTAAACTTGCTAGACATGGTGAACTTCCTCATCGTTTACATGCTCTGTCCATGGTATTTTCAGCATCTGTGTGTAGAACCACAATTCTGTTGCTTCAAGTCTCTTTTTTTTTTATCAGTGACAAGATTGTCCAGCATTCATGCCATATTAATAATACATAGTAGTTTAGGACTGCCTGTAAGACTGTCATATAGGAATAAAGTGTCGCTGCCGACGCTTGGGTTTGAACATAGGTTGTCAGAAAGCAAGCACAGTTGACCTCATCTTTAAATAACTAGAATAAAAGAAATATATATTAAAAAATCCAAATTTAAAAAGATAGACTCTTCTGTCTAAGCTTCTTTATTTTTTCTGGTTAATGTAAATTACCTTTATAGTAAGAAATTTTTTTTTTTCCATGTCAGCAATATAGTTAAATTCCCGGATGAATTCTGTGGACAAGACAGATTGGTATAAAATGACAACTGGAAAAAAATCTTAGATTTTGCCGATGCATTTAATTTTACAACTTTTTCAAGGCAAAAATGAAATCGAAACGTGTCGGCAAAAATCTAACATTTTTTTACAATTGTCATTTTATACCAATCTGTCTTGTCCACAGAATTGATCTGGGAATTTAACTATATTGTCAATATGGAAAATATATATATATATATATATATATATATATATATATATATATATATATATAGTTTTAAGGTGTGCTATATTTATGGGATAAAGTGCTCAGTATCAGAGATAGAGCATATGTAAATATAAATATGAACATTGAATTCAACAGGCTCTCAACTGTGTCTAGCATGAAACAGTCTGTCACTTCTGAGTGTTGACTTCAAAGTTCACTTCATATATATATATATATATATATATATATATATATATATATATATAATGTGGGAATTTGCAGCATCTGACCATGTATTGTTCGAAGGCATTATTATTGTTGTATCTGTGATTTACAAAGTCTCTCCTACAAACAGGCATTACAAAATTGTTGATGAGTATTCGTTGAACTTACATGAGGAAAAAATAAAATATATGTATTCTACACATCGTAATAGGATATTCAGTAATATTTATCACTTCACCAAAGAGACGTCATATTTGCAGGACTACAGAGAATACCAGGCAAAGTTATTCAAAAATTAATCTACCAAATATTCGGCAGAATACAGCAAAATGGAAGAATTAAAAGCTATCATGATTCAAATGTTGACGCTACAGAAGTAACAAGAACAACAGTTGCAGCAACAAAAACAACATGAACAGCAATTACAACAACAACAAAAATATATATTTTCCTATGAAAACTTTGCTAAAGTGGATCTTAGTTTCCAGTTATTCTCATAGGCCATTGTTAGTGAGTTTTATCCACACTGGGCACCAAAATACATTGGATTTCTTGTGTGTGGCTAGAAGTTTACCAAGTAGATATCTATAAAGCTTTAAGGAATAAAGATATATAAGTGTGTGTGTGTGTGTGTGAACCAGATTCCTGGCCTTTCAATTCAATCCCCCCCTTGAAAACCAAATGCGCGTTCATCACTGGATAAGTCTCCAGAATATTTGACTCCTGTTCAACTTATGGCTCCTTTAATATCATATTTTTAAACATGCCCTCCCCTGCTTTTAATTTACCTGATTTGCTTCAGAAAGTTGCAGAGGTGGTGTCGGCTGGGAATGGGATGGTAGCGTTTGGTCGGAAATGACTCTGTTGCTTATCTCTTCAATGTGGGTAACCTCAGGTGAATAAATCCCAGCAATCAATTTTCCACTTTATCCTTATAAGAAAAGCCCTAATGTCTGGATATACTGAACCAAAGATAAATTAAAAGCTTGTGTGTATGTGTGTGCATGTCTTACCCTCCCACTTCTTTCTTTTACACTCTCCCTCTATCCCAGTGATATATAGCATAGTACCCATCAAAAATAATAGATTAGTACTTCAAAGTATCTGTATGCACTGCTGATGGTTAGGTTCTAAGCTCTTCTCTCTCTTCCTTCTTTCATATATATATATATATATATATATATATATATATATATTTCTTGGAATTAACCTATAGAAAAAGACAATATGTATAAAGGAAAAAAAATCAATAGGAAAACAACTGTTGTTTTAGATGATGCATTTCATCCAATGTGAACTTTTTTCAAGTCAAAAAACAAAATGAACTTATTGAAACAAAGTATCTACAAATAACAAACAAAATGTTGTTAGCAACTAGAAGAATTTAGAAATGTTATTGTATATTCATATAGGAAACTGAAAAAATATGTCAATTAGTTTGTTTGAAGAGAATATTTTCACATGTAGAAATATTATTTTTATTGTGTTGATAGATTCAACTGTTTTCTTTTGATTTCTTGATATATTTTTTGTGTACATTGGCTTGGGAGGGTAGTGATTCTGTTAGGAAAGGTGATATTGGGAAAAATCCTGGGTGTAGATTAATATTTGGATAATATTCAATGGCAGTACACTCGAGGATTTTCCTTCTTAGTGAATTATTTTCTTTTTTATGAGTGTAGCATTTATAAAATGAAAATTTCCCAAAGGTATATTTCCCAATATATATTAATGTATATTTGGGCTGTAACCTTTCTTTTAAACATCTTGTAATCAACTATGACAGACAAGGAAGATTTAATTCAATTTTTATTTAGCTTTTCCAGTGTCCTTATGTTTTTCCATTTTGTAGGAGTAAAGGAGTACAAAAATTGTCCATAATTTTCATTGTCCCAATGGCCACTTCTTCAGTCATTTTCAAGGTGGTTTTGTCTCTCATCATGCTAGTTTTTCTCCATGTTTACCATGTTCAATAAAATATATATATATTTGGTTGATTTTGTTTAGCAACATATCAACCTCTATGGGTTATTTAATGGCAAAATCTAAATATTTTGAACACAATTTTTTGGTTCCAACTATATATATTTTGAATGACTTAATTGATTGCTGTTGCCTTCAGCATCCTGACTCCAGAGTTTCATGGGTGGGACAGTCTGTCCACTCTTCAGGGGATATCAATAATATACACCCTTGTGCTAATTAATTGAAACAAAATTTCTAATTCCATTACTAATTACTTTTTTGTATTTTTCCAATGAAACATGAATCAGTGCACATGTTAGTATTTGTATGTACATTCCACAAAGAATTTCTGTGCAGATTGACCACAGATTCTTGATTTGATTTAAATCAGGAGAGTTTTCAGGCAAGTCTCTAGTACTTTGATTTACTCACTGGTAAGGCTTTCCAGTGAGTTCATGTAGTGTTACAATTTTTACATGCTTCCTTGGAGTAATGTCCCTCACAGACAATAGCCATAGGACAACTAATCGATAGTCAAGACAATAGTGTCTAGGTTTGATGAAAATCTGATGTAATCACAGATGATGCAATATTTTTCAAGGCACAAACAAATTTCATCATACATCCCGAAAATAGATTCATATTACTGCACGCCACTGCAAATGACCTAATCTGACAAAAAAAATAGAAATTTATTACACCATGTCACTCCAGTGGGTCTAAGACTGTCTGTATGGTGAAAGAAAACTAAATGGCTGTTTCAAATAATTTGTGCATGTGTGTGTGTATATATATATATATATATATATATATATATATATATATATATATATATATAAATTCCCAAGAGGATAGAATCCAGGTAGAACTCAATGTACAGGACAGAGTAAGAATATAATATAAAGGGCTCAAATACTAATATTCCATGGTTATAATTTATTACATTGGAATCGTAGTCATGATCCAATTCATCAGACTTACAAATTCAAAAAGAAATCGTAAAATATAACTCGGGGTATAAAAAACAAAATTTTAGTCATATATATGTATATATAAAAGTAATGAAAAGTTTGGTAATCTGTATGGATAATCCCAAGAAGGATATAATCCAGAGAGCTCAATGTCAAATCAAGCAATTATTAATTAACTTTAAGGTTGTCTGTTTTCTATTTAAATTAATATATATAAATAAAGACTAAAGAAAAATTTCTTTTAGCCAACACATCTCATCCACTTATGGACTTTATAGAGGCAAATGTCAAGATTTTATTTTGAAACAAGTATTAAAAAAACAGAAATCATTTAGTTTAGCAAAATTTTTAAATTTAAGTAACACTCATAAATACCCTTCAGGCTAACTGAAAGTCAAGGTAAATTATGGAGGACACTAAGTGACATAAATTAATGTCTAATAAACAAAAGGGAGTAAATGTAGTTTTTACTGTTGATTATAAACAAACCGATTTCTAAAGAATTATTAGATTTATTTTTAATCCCAAATTTTTTTTATTACTTCTCGATAGAGTCCAAAAGCATCTCCGAATCCTTGTGGTTAACAAATTATTTTCCACCCTCTAACTTCTCTCTCACAGGCAACATATGGTAAGTGTCTCGCTGATCTATCAGTGCTTCTATAGAAAGTGCTCATGAAGATTACATTCAAGCATGAAAAATACCATTTAAGTCATAAAATATTTTTTCACTTTAAATGTTATTTTTAGTGGATACTTATATTTGAGTAGACACTCCATTTATTTATTAAACAGTAGATTTATTTATTTTCATCTATTGGCCTGAATATTTGAGAAATATTATTGAAGAAAAGAAAAACAAGGTGCTCTCAGGCAGGATTTGAACATGTGTGTTTCTGGGTAGAGAGAGACTGTTGTTAAATCTGATGTGCTTTAAATGAGTTGGCCATGAAAAAGGTTTGCTGATCAAGCAAGGTTGAATATTGCCTTTAAGTGAAATTCTGCTGATCATAGATTCCTTGAAATTTTCATATCTGCTCAGTTTTGAATCCAAACATAAACAAAGCAATTTATAAAGAAGTAATTGCCTTTTTTATTTATTAATCTAACAGATTTTATCACTTTAAATATTATTTTTAGTGGATACTCATCTTTGAGTAGCTGTACCATTTAGTTATTAAACTGTATGTTTATTTATTTTTTATCTAATGACCTGAATAATCAAGAAATCTTATTAAAGAAAAATATATATGTTCTTTGGCAGGATTCGAACCTGCATCCCCTTGGGTAGAGAGGTAACTGTCATTAGATCTGACATGCTTTAACAAATAATAAATAATGTTTGGAGCAGCTACTCAAATATGATTGTACACTGAAAATGATGTATGTATGTATGTATATGTGTATGTATGTATGTAAAAATTCCAGACAGAAAATATCTGTAAAGGGACAATTGAATAAAAACAAAAAAGGAAAACTTATTTTAGCCGACACATTTCATCCTTTGAGATAAATTTTCCTGTCTTTATTCACACACACACACACACACACACATATATATATATATATATATATATATATATATATACAAAAAAAAATAAAGAAAATTACAAAGGAAAATAAATATAGATATTATTATTCTTTCTTCTTTTTTTTTCATTTTTTAACCGGGCCTTTCTATGGATGGAAATTTCGAGGTCAGAAAGCCTGATTTGTCTTCAAGATTATTTTTGGTCTTCCGCCCTGGGTGGTATGAGCTGAAATGTTGCTTCACCAAACCCCACCTAGTCACCCATACCAGTTTAATCAATATTGCATGCTGCCTGTAATCCATAAAAGTGACAACACAATTTTTGAAAGACTTATCTTCAATTGAGGTTTCAATTCTTCTTAGACTCTACATCCAATCTCTCCTTTTTGTTTTTTTGTTTTTTTGGTGCTTTCCAAAAATAAAAAAAAAATAAAAAATGAAATGAAATGGGGTTAGAGGTCACAGATTTTTTTTATGTTTTATTTTTCTTTCTCTTCCCTTTTCCACTCATCAAAATTAGTTTGAGATATTTTTTTGATTGGGGCTCTGTGCCTTTGGCAGAGTTTGGTGGACGGGAAGGTTTTTTTGTTTTTTTTTTGTCTGAAGTCAGGGAGATTATTGCAAGATTACAACTGTGGGAACATTGATTCTTCCTATCATTTTGCTATTTCTTTTAGTTTCTCCATTTTTCTATTTCCATCTCCATCCCCCACCCCTTGCCACTCTCCCCCCACCCACTGCCATTACCAACATGAAAAGAAAAAACAAGACGTTAAATAAAGAGAGAGGTAATTATGGTTATGGTAATATTAGCCATTTCCTTATAAGGAAATATTTTAGACATTTATTGACCGAGCAGCCAGTTCTACATTCAGTTGACATTTATAAAATCTTCCTCTGAAAACAATTTTTCAGGAAACTAAGTTTCTCATGCCCAGTAACTGTTATTGATCTTTCCAGTATTGCTTAGTTTAAACACAGAATAGGCTATGCTAGAGCTAGTTTTACTCGGTAAATAAATGTCTGGTCTCACCTTTGCCATTACTCACATCAGTGATTAAAAATGGCCCCATGCAAATGAATCCTTTACGACTTAAGATCACCAGTCATCAGCCACGATAAACTGGCACTACAGAACCAGAAAGTGTTTTAACAAATGGGCAAAACGACTTGAAGACTTCCAACACTAGCAACAACTAAAATGGATAGTATATGTAATTAGAAGGGAAAATAATGATATAATCAAAATTGAATTTTCACACTACCTTAAGCAAAAGGTTAGGAAGAAAAACCATCAGTACTAGAAAGTATAAAACAGTCACTGATCTTTTTTATCTTTTTTTTTTAAACATATCACCTCATGCAAAGCTGTAAAGCCACTAAGACACAAGTGGTTATTGAGTTTGAAAGAGGAAGAATAATAGACATAATTTAGGAGCAAGGACAATAGAAGAATAATCAAGAAGACAGAAAATAATAATAGACATTGCCTTTTAAATTTTTGAAGATCAAAGTTGGTTGGAAAGCATGGAACTGGAAGAGAGTTCCACAAGTGAGAAGTGTGAGAAAAGAAACTGTTAGTATAGAACTTACAGCTACATTTAACCAATTCAACTGTGAATTGGTGAGACTTTGCCACCAATCTAGTACTGTGCTTAAATTCATAAAGTCAAGATACCATAGCAGAAAGTCCATCAGAACAATTTCTATGAAAGTATTTGTAGAAAAGGCACAAAGACGCTATGTTACGACAGTGGGAAAGAGGCTGAAGCTGAGATGCCAGGTCAGGACAAATAACATTGCGAATTCTTCTTTGGATTTTATCAAGACCCTCTAAATATATAAGCAAGAGCATGAGACTTAGATATGACAGAAATATGGTTGAATGGTAAACATATAAATATGTAAGATAGATTCTGGTGAGGAAGATTGTCTAGCACGACACAGTGAACAACTTTCTTAACAATTGAATCAATATACTCTTTCCACTTCATGTCAACTGAAAAACGTTACTTTTCGATTTATCTCTCCAACTCTTGACATGTTAATGAGAATGTTCCATGGATAGCCTGTTTTTTTTTCTTTTTTTTCTTTTATTTATTTTTGTAATTTTTAATTTTTATCTGTTATTTTTTTTTAATTTAAATTCATTTTAAAGAGTCTATTTCTTATTTAATTTTTTTTTTTTTTTTACCTTTTAATTTTTCATTCTATTTTATTCTGTTTTTCTTTGTTTATTTTTGTGAATTTTAAATGTTTCATTTCTGTTTTTTAAGCAATAACAATCCAAATTCTTCTCCAGAACTTTTGATATTCCACAATCTGCCCAAAGTAGGAAAAACCTGAGATTATTGTCCTGAATTCCATGAATATTTTTCTTGCTCTCAAATTACGCTCTTTTTAGAGTTACCTTTTTTGCCTTTTGTTGATTCTTGCATTCATTCTTTAATGTCTTGTAGTTATTCCTTCTTATCTTTGAATTTTTTTTTTTTTTTATATTTTTGGTCTACCCTTAAATATTTTGATGTCAGGCAAATGAAAATTTTCTCTGATTCTAGTTTTTGGTTACTATTTTAAAATTATTTTTCCCTCTCTTTCTTTTGTCTCTTTCTTCCTCCTCTTCTTTTGTTGCTCTCTTCCTTTTCTTTCATCTCTCTTCTCTGTCCTTTTGTCTCTCATCTTCCTCCCTCTTGGTCATCTCTCTCTTCTTTCTTCCTCATGTTCATCTCTCTCTTCTTCCTGTTTTTCTTTTGTCTCTCTTCTTTCTCCTTTTCTTTTGTCTCTTTTCTTTCTTTTTCCTTTACTTTTTTTTTCTTTTGTCTCTCTTTTTTTGTTCCTTGTATTTTTTCATTTCTCTTCTTCTTCTTTTTTTTCTTTTCTTCTTTTTCATTTCTTTCATTTCTTTTTTCCTTTTCTTTCATTTCTCTTCTTCTTTCATTTCTTTCTTTTCTTTTTTTCATTTCTCTTCTTCTTCTTCTTCCTTTTCTTTTCTCTTTTCTTCTTCCTTTTCTTTTTCTTTCTTTTCTTTTTCTTTTCTTCCTTTTCTTTCATTTCTCTTCTTCTTCCTTTTCTTTTGTCTCTTTTCTTTCTCCTTTTTTCTTTTCATTCTCTTTTTTTCCTTTTTTTTTCATTTCTTCTCTCTCCTCTTCTTTTTTTCATTTCTTTCTTTTCCTTTTTTCTCTTCTTCTTTTTTCCTTTTCTTTCATTTCTCTTCTTCTTCTTTTTCCTTTTCTTTCATTTCTCTTCTTCTTCCTTTTCTTTCATTTCTCTTCTTTTTCCTTTTCTTTCATTTCTCTTCTTCTTCCTTTTCTTTCATTTCTCTTCTTCTTCCTTTTCTTTCATTTCTCTTCTTCTTCCTTTTCTTTTGTCTCTTTTCTTCTTCCTTTTTTTTGTCTCTTTTCTTTCTCCTTTTCTTTTCTCTTTTCTTTCTCCTTTTCTTTTGTCTCTTTTCTTTCTCCTTTTCTTTTGTCTCTTTTCTTTCTCCTTTTCTTTTTTCTTCCTTTTCTTTCATTTTTCATTTTCTTCTTTTCCTTTTTCTTTCTTCTTCTTTTCTTTTTCTTTTTTTCTTTTCTTTTTCCTTTTCTTTTCCTTTTTTTGTCTCTTTTTTTTTTGTCTTTCTTTTTTCATCTCTCTTCTCCTTTTCTTTTTTTTCTTTCCTTTTTTTTGTCCTTTTTTTCTTCATTTGTCTCTTTTTTTTGTCCTTTTCTTTGTGTCCTTCATCTTTCTTTCTCTTCTTTTTACTCTGTTTTTTCTCCTCTCTCTTCATTTTTTATTCTTTCTTCCCATTGCTTTCTTCTTCATTTTTTTTTCTTTTGCAGTCTTTCCCTTTTCAGGAATATTTCCCCCTTCTCCCTCTTGCAGTCATTCTGTCATCCTCTCTGCTCTTTCTTTCTTTTTTCTCCTCCCATCATTACCAGTATATTTATTTATTTTCATCTACTGGTCTGAATGTTTGATTAATCTTATTAAAGAAAATCCTGCTGGAAAGGACAATTTTTTCTTTAACAAGATTTCTTTGACATTCAGTGCTGTAGATGAAAACAAATGTACAGTTTAATAAATAGAGGGAGCATATACTCAAGTATGAATATCTACTAAAGTAATATTTAAAGTGATCAAACAGTATATAAAAGTTTTGTATCTGATAACAACATTACAGCTGCTTTCTGTGAACGTTTCTCTGATTTAACACAAGTTTTCTGTCCCCAGGAGAAATGATAAAAAGAAATGTGACATGCTAATAATCTAACTGCAAGAATACTCGCCTGTTGTATGTGATCTAATTTTTGTCTATACAGCTTTTAAAATCATGCCCCACAACCTATTGGATGAAGAGCTATAATAAATTTAGTATAGAAGAAATGGACATTAAACAGAGGATAATTTATGCCAGGAATAGTTTTGCCTAATACCACCAATTGCTACAAAACCAAAACATTAACCTGAAAACTTGAGTCATGTTCTTAAATAGTTTTGTCAGATCGAGACTCACATGGATGTCATTTGTGGCACCAAACCTGTATAGAAATATCTAAACTGTCAGCTCTATGCAACCTGTTCTAAGATCAATGACTAACAATAACTCCCAGCAAATGAGGCAACATAGCTCTTAGCAAGGAATATCCTTCTTTGAAACTCTGATCACTGGCACTACAAAACCCCCAAAAAAGATCTGTACCAAATAACAGAAACCACATCACATAAGGACTAACAACAACACCTAAAATGGATTAGCACATATAACTTGAAGAAAAAATAATGACATAATCAAGAAGTGGACATTCCACACTACTTCCAACAAAAGGTTAGGAAGGAAGCTCCATCAGTTATAGTTACTGGAGTGAAACCAGCTATTTTTCTTAAAAAATTGCTTTAATAGATAGACTTTATTGAAAAGGCAACAATAATAAGATGGAGTAAAACTAGTAATACAAAAATAATAGTAAAAATGTTTCATCTAAAAAGCAACAATAATAAGATGGAATAAAACTAGTAATAAAAAAATAATAGTGAAAACGATTCATCTAAAAAGCAACAATAAGATGGAGTAAAACTAGTAATAAAATAATAATAGTGAAAATGCTTCATCTAAAAAGTAACAATAAGATGGAATAAAACTAGTAATAAAATAATAATAGTGAAAATGCTTCATCTAAAAAGCAACATTAATAAGATGGAATAAAACTAGTAATAAAAAAATAATAGTAAAAATGCTTCATCTAAAAAGCAACAATAATAAGATGGAATAAAACTAGTAATAAAAAAATAATAGTAAAAATGCTTCATCTAAAAAGCAACAATAATAAAACAATAAAACTGTTAATAAAATAATAGTGAAAATGCTTCATGTAAAAATACTCAAAATTAAATGACTTCTTAACATGTTTTAGCAAAACCTTCTTTCCAATAATCTTTAAATCAGAACCTCTAAAGAGACTCTTAGAATCATCATACTTGTCTTTTATTAATGATAGAATAAGTCTCCAATTTCCCTTCAAAAATTGCGTCTAATATAGTTTTTAAGGTGTTTCACTAAACATTAGTCAATTGATAACGTTCTTTTCTGAAGAGGACGGGAATTCTGGACCAGAACATTAAAGAATATTTTAATGACATTTATTTTTAAGAAAACTAAAAAAATAAAAAAATTCTAAGTGTTTTAAAAGTTTGCTCAAACCACAGATAATATGAACCTCAAACTTTCATGATGAAACTTTCAGTTGCAACAAAGCATCCAACAGTTGCAAATGCAGAACACAAACTTTGAACTAGCACAGATTATACTGTGATCACGTTTGCAACTTGAGAAAGACCACAAGTGAACTGAAAAACTCTGTATTGTACTCAGCTTAAGTATAAAAAAATCATTATTTTTCTTTATTAAAGTTTACCCAATAAAAGGCACAAGGGTCACTCAAGGTAGTGGGTTACTTTGTGGAGTTGTATTAGCATAGGGAAGGGCAAGATAACAGGAAAGATAGACAGCTAATTCTAGACTTGAAGTAGTCCTGATATAATTAGTGAATAAAATTCAGGTGGAGATGTTTGAACTATAGAGTTGAAATATATTTTAGAAGGGACTGGAAACTCAATCCTAAACAGAAAACAACCTCTACTCCTGTTCAAAAAAACTGGGGAGGAATATGAATCAGATGATAGGTGAGCATATTTTCTCCTATTGGGAGAGGAAAAAAATAATTACTGAATAAAATTTCAGATTTCGGGGAGGGACGACATAAGTACAGAGTTGAAGGAACCAGAAACTTAATCCTAAACAGGAAACAAGGGATAAACCTCTACTCCTGTTCAGAAGACTGGGGAAGAGTGTGAACCTGACGATAGGTAAGCCTATATTTGCATAGGTGGTAGAGGATGTTTCCAAATACATATCAGCTATTTTTGTTGCTTGCTGTGATAAATGTATGTCAACTGTAGTTTTTTCCTTGCATAAGTTAACTTGATAACACAGGCTACTATGAAAATTGGCTCATTCATCTTTGAACAAAGATAGAGGCTTTCTGTCAACATATTTACTTTCCTTTTTGACTCTGACTTGACTTCATCAGAGATTGAACTAGGAAGCCTTCTGAAGTTGGGTTTGTGTTTACTGATGGCTGAACCCTATGTAAATCCATATTGCCTGTAGGCACACAAAGAAAAATAATTATTTTCTGTCAAAGTCTAAAAAAGGTGTGTATGTTGGAGGGCAGGGTTAAAGCTCTCCACCACCCCACCCCTCACAAAAAAAATATTCGATTTTAATCCCTTCATCGGATCGTGGAACAACACTGGGTTAATCCTTACTCCTTGGAAATATAATCCATGATTATGATCTGTTAACAAGCCTGCCCTTATCCAAGCGTTTTCTTTTTTACCCTCTTCTTAAATGTGGATTTAGTGCTTTGTCAAAATTCTTGTAACAAGGTATTAAATATTCATAGATTGGTAATGTTTTTTTTCTCTTTAGTTTTGATAAAATTTTCCATTTTTTTTTTTTTTTTTTTTTTTTGAGGGAATGCCTTTAATTTTTTTAACTAATCTGAAAGAGACATTTTAACTAGTTCCACACATTGCTTCATTTAAATTAGATTTAAATCAAACCTGAGTGATTATTCATTTTGTAATACCTTTTTGTTTTTTGTTCATTTCCTCAACACTAAAATCAAACAAAAGAATTGTGAATTCAGATTTAACGATGTGTAAGCAGTTAAATATTTTCTTGTAATGTTTATGCTTTATTGCTTTGAGAAAATAAAATATTCAACAAGCAATAAATCTTATCTCTTTTATCTGCTGGGAGACTGGTGTTTTGGTATATTATTTTTTTCTTTTCATAATCTTGCAAATATGTAATTAGCAATTTTAAAACTCCTTCAGTTTTTTGACTTTGTTAATTTCTCTTCCTTATTTCAAATAGATTTTGGTATTTTCCTCTCTTTCTTACTCTCCTTTTTTTCTTTTTTTTCTTTTTTTTGACCCTCTTCTTTCACTCTTACCTTTCTTCCCTTTTACTTTTGATATCTTCCTCTATCTCTTTTGTAAACCTGTTCATTCACTTTCACCTTCTTTTTTGGTTTCTTTTTTTATTCCTTTCTTTTTCTTTTCAATTGTCACTTTTTCTCCTTTTCTTATTTTTTTTTGCCTTATTTCTTTTTTACTTTTCTTTTATTTTTTTTGATATTTTCCTCTATCATTTTTGTTTTGAACATGTTCCTTCATTCTCAACTTTCTTCCTTTTTCTTTCAATATCTTCCTCTCTCTCTTTTTCTAAACCTTTCCATTCATTTTCACCTTCCTTTTGCTTTCTTTTCTTTTTCTTTTCATTTGTCTCTTTTCTCTTTTTCATTCTTTTTTTTTTTAGCTTTCTCCTTTGCTATTTTTCTCTCTCTCTCTCTCACATTTGAACCTGCTTAATCCTTTCCATCCCTCTTTTCTCTGTTATATTCCTTTTGGTTCTTTTTTTTACTTTCGTTTTCTTTTCATTTTTCTTTTTTTTTTTTTAAACTTTCTTCCTTTTTTTCATTTTCAATCATAAGGAGAACCACCCACCCCGTCAATTCTAAAATGAGCAGTTAGAGTGAAGACATATTCTCAGTACTGAGCAAGGCTAATTCTGAGTTTCACTTAAAAATGTTGGAATTTGTGTACATTAAGTCCTACCAGCCATCTCTCTGTAAGCAGAAAGAGTGGCTGATGGGCTTAAAGGTAATTAGACTCTAAGTGTTAAATTTGCATTCATATATTTGTCTTGAGTTTTCATACTATTTTGTTGTTGTTCACATTTTTATCCTCCCTTTGCTTTGATAAGAAAGGACTGATAAGCTGCCTTTTTTCTTAATCATTGTTGTATTTTGATACTACCATTTCAGGGTATTATATTTTTTTTGCTACCCTTCGTTTTTTATATAAATTGTCTTCTTTTACTATGTCCGTTTTTATCATGTTAACTGTTTTCCTGAAAAATTATGTTAATAGAAAGATTTCATAAATTTCAACCGAGTAACACTGGCTGCTTAGTCAATGAATACCAAATGTTTTTTTTTTTATAAATAAATGGTTAATATTATTAGTTTCATGGTGCCCTTGTGCCAGACTATTTTAAGTAACTTCCCATAAAATACTGTTAATTTATATTTAGAAAATAAGGAAAAGGAAAAAAAAACACATTTATTAATACTGTTTGGATTTTTTTAAGTGAACTCTTGTAGACAAAAAAAAAATTGTAATTATTGCAGCCTGTGTTTTTTGTCCGTTACTAATGACATTCTGAACTTCCTGTTGCATGATCTTTGATCAAGTTCCCTTCCATCATTTTCCATCCTTCCTCTAGCCTTGCTATGTCTGATTTGAGCAACTTGAGCATAACATCACCAAATGCTCATACAACCCCAAAGCTCTTTACTGCCACAGCAGACATGTGTAATGTTTTGTCATTAATTGATAATTAGGTTTTTGACATTGTAGTATTGTTTTTTTTGTTAATTATGATACAAATCCTTTAAAAATAGCAGGGTAGTCCAGGGTTTCTAGCCATGGTTTGCCATCATTCAAGGAGAAAGCCTTTAAATTCAAAACTGTATGTAACTCTGGTATAGCATATACTATGCAGCCATCAACATCAGACTGTCTTTATGTATTTTTTTATAATCATTTCACCCTGAGCAAGGCAATAAAGGTACTAATACACAGGTGATTACTGAGTAGAAAAGAATACAGGAGAAATCATTAAGGTGTAAGAACAATAAAAGAACCAAAATTAAGATGATGGAAGATAACGATTGACATTGCATTTAAGCTTTTGAAGATCAAAGTTGACGGGAAAACAAGAAGTCGGAAGAGAGTTCCACAAGCGAGAAGTGTGAGAAAAAAAACTATTAGCATAGAATTTATGGTTACATCCAACCATTTTAACTGTAAAAAGATGAGACCTTGCTGCCAATCTAGTACTACGCTTAAATTCATAACCTCTAGGTAGCATAGAGGAAAATTCATCAGAAAAATTATCATGAAAGTATTTATAGAAAAGGCACATGGCAATACTGAAACCAATATGCCAATGATATTGCAGATTTTTCTTTTAATTTTATCAAGAATCTCAAAATATGTACCAGGAGCACCAGACCATATGAGGCAGCGATGTTATAAACATGGATATATGGTAATTTTATTATTGTGTCTGTCAAAAAAAATCCTTGTTCCTGCTAACTCTTTGCATCTGGCTGTGTTATTGTCATTCTCAGTTTCTATATTCTTTATCGTTAGGTTTCAGAAGTGAAAGCTATCAATAAATCTGTGATGTTTCTGTTGGAAACATTATGTAGATATTAACCAGACATGTTTGAGCACAGAATTAGCAAAGATTTATAAACGGCTTCAAAGTGTATTTTTTTCACTGTATTACAAAATCAGGGTTTGTTCTTTACAGCATTCTACACTGATTTTATAAAGGGTATTTCATTAAGACGGATTATACATGAGGGTGTTTCATTAAGACGGATTATACATGAGGGTGTTTCATTAAGACGGATTATACATGAGGGTGTTTCATTAAGACGGATTATACAGAAGGTTGTTTCATTAAGATAGATCAAAGTCAGCAGTAAATAGTGTTATTGGTGAAAATTTATTAATTTCTCTATTGGATCAAGTTTTTTTAAGTCATGGCAGTTATGTGTGAGAAATAATATCACCCAAATGTCTCCCAAATTTGAAAGTAAAAGAAAAAATCATTAGACGTAAGCGTAACTCACATTTAAATTCGGTCCAAGTTATTGGAACACCCTTTATATAAAACAGCAAAAAAAAAAAAATTAAAAAAGAAATAATAGCAGCTAGAAATACCTGGGGAAAATTTCACCATTTTGCTATTTTAATTTTCTGATGAATCTTAATTCTTAAGTTAATTCAATAAGCTCCTTGCAAGTGTGTCAGGTGAGTCTTCTAATTAGTGACATTTTTACTTCCTAGAATGAAGTCTTCAGAGAGGCTGACAACATATACAGATAATAAACTTGCTTTTGCCAAGGCTACCATGCAAGACTTGTACAGTGCTAATTTTTTTTTTTTTTTAATACCATGTCCATTCAACAAGTAGGGGGTTATAGCCCTCTACAGATTCCTTCTCTTTATTATCAATGAATTTATATTCAATCTTGGAAAAGATAGCTGAGATGTTTCCTGCTGTCTTCTCTATGCTTTGGAATTTAGTTTTTCTTCTCTTAGATTCGTTGCCTCAGTATACTAGAGACTATTGTTTAATCTATTTTTTTTTTCAAAACACCATGTCTCTTTGTTGTAGCATACCTACGGATGATAATGGGTATGTCTCCATTCACATAAATACAATAGTAAATACTGTATGTTGGTCTGCAGTCAGAGATGCATTGTAGAATTCACTTCTGTTGACTACATCTACATGCCACTGGCAAATGTTGTTCTTGTCCTAAGTATTATCATTCATTAATCACCTTCATGTGATTATTCTATTCAGTAACCCTCCCTAGGTTACAACATTCTTCATGCGTCATGTCCCTTAACAATGCAATGTCCTGATGGAGGTTATCATGACTCTCCATACATTCTTTTTCTTTAATTGTGATCCATTCTTGGGAAAGACAGTTCAATTGTTTCCTGTTGCCTTCTCCATAGTCTAGAATCTAAAGTTTTCCTTCTCTTAGATTGGTTGCTACTTAAAACTATAAAGCACTGTTTACACTGTTATTTAATCCATTTTATAAAGATACAACAAAGAAAATTTTGGAAAACCTTCTGAAATTGGAATTCAGATGAACATGATATTGTGTTATTACTTTTTGTGAATGCTAAACACCCCCCCTACCTAATTTCTGTTACAGCTTTTGTGACTCTAAAGGAAATGGTAATTAAAATAAAAGGAAATACAAATTGAGCAAATAATAATAATAATAATAAAAAAAACAAAGACAGCATCACTTGCGGGAAGAACTTAATTCTTGGGTTTCTGGGGGGGGGGAAATATAATCAACTTATATGCAGATAACATGATGAAAGTAAAAAGATAATAATTATATATTAGGTTGGTGCAAAAATAATGACATAATAATGTCATTTTTTTGACATATTTTTTAACGTCAAAAAACGACATTATTACATCATTATTTTCACACCAACCAAATATTACTTAGATAATAGAATATAAGCTTACAGCCATATCATGTTGAAATACTGGTTCTCATCTGATTGCCAATGTTGAGCCTGATCAGTATTTAGATGGGTCACTGCGCTGGAATACTGTAAGTTTGAATGTGCAGGTGATGTGATGCATAATAGCTGGGAATGAGAAATTGGAGAGCAGAGTTCAAATTCCAGTTGAGCTTGTTACATTTACTTACATACAAATATCCTTTGAAAGGTATGAATGCAACTCTTCTCATATTAGCTATGGGTTAAATAGCAGGTCAAACTAGATCCCATAACCTTGGTTGCCAACTAGTCTACTGCAGAAATAAATGTCACTCCTTACATCTGGCCACCTAATTCCCCAGACTGCAACCCCCTTGATTATTATGTGTCAGGTGCAGTTGAACGAGAGACCAACAAAATTCCTTATAACACCAAAGATGAACTGAAGGCAAGGATTATGACAGCATTCATCAAATTAAACAAGGAACCTTTTCAGAAAAGTTGCAGGAGATTCTAAAATCGTCTGGAGGCCATGGTGATTTTATTGAATAAATTTACTCTTTGATATTTCAAGATATTTTTGTGTAATTTTGGTAAATATATCTCTTAAAATAACATTTAACAATTATACTACCAATAAATATATATTTTGTTCTTCACCATTTATTTATATATATATATATATATATATATATATATATAGAGAGAGAGAGAGAGGAAGATGTCTGATTGAATAAATTATATATATATATATATATATATATAAATAATTAAATCTGCTAATTTTTTAAAATCCATTCATACTCACGAATAACCTTCTGTTTATTGATGTTAAATGATGAGAGAAATGTACTATAGCTGTTTAAATTTTTTATTTTCGTTTCCCAAGTACTTTCAATCTTCTTTCAAGATCATCTTCAGGTGGTGCAAGTAATACAAAACTATATGTTGTTCATTAGTATAAGTATTTATACGAAGATGTGCATTGTTATCCATTACCATAATTTTTTCATTATGCTTTTAAATGTAAAATGGTTGACAATGTGCTGAGTGGGTGGGAAATGAAAATAAAAGAAATTTAAACAGCCATAGCACATTTCTCTCATCATTTAACATCAATAGATGGAAGGTTATTCGTGAGTATGAACGGATTTTGTTAAAAATTAGCAGACATAATGTTTGTAATTTATTCAATCGGGCATGCCTAAAAGAGAATTTGTTGCCTAAATACACACACGCACACACACATATATATATATATATATATATATATATATATATATATATATATATATGAGAGAAAGATTATATAAAGAGGCAAAGATAGTTTGAGAGGGACACACACACAATGAGATAAATATATATATATATATA